TTTCAGCTTCCAGATCAATGTTAAACACTATGAGCCACTCCCCAGTTTCTGGTTTCATCTGCCAAACTTTCCACGAGAAATTCCCAAGGGCGACCAATAAAGATAGATACCTTCCTGTTGACAGATAAAAGCGTCTCTTGTTTCTGTGAACTCGAGGAAGGGGGACCTCTGACTTGGAAATAATTTCAGTCTCCACATTGAGAGAGAAAACAGAGGTGCACGATTCCCAGACCCAATGCACAAAACCATCAGTGATCAACGGCTTAAAGGCGTAATGAAGTTGGTTCCTATTAAGAGACAAGTGTTTGGTGTAGACATGCCTCCAGGTGGTATCGACACCAACAATTAATATAAGACATTCAAGATTCCTTACACAATCGCTTTCATCCACGAAATCGCGTACAACCACTTTATACTTCATGGAGGCCGACGCATACGCCATAGCAGGAAGAAGAGATGCATAACGTATCTTGGAAAATGGAGGCAGGGTGAAGCATTGCTTGGTTGCGAGATTCAGGATGCGCACAGAATAAGGATCTCCGTTTAAGAATCTCAAAAGCAGGCCATTACAGCTGGCCCAGATAAAACGACCAAGTTCGTAGCGGCACATGGATTTCTCGACCCGGCCCTGCCGCATCGAGATAAAAATCAATTCTTTGCGTAAAAACAAACAGTGTAAGAAGAGGCCGGAAGTTGCACGGCAGATTTGCGTTTGTATCAAGTCAGGGATATGGGTCAAATGGTACCACTTGCGGCAAACGAGCCCTACCGGGACCAGGATATCTTGAGGTGGGAGACGAGCAATGATGTCCAATAATAAATCTTTGGGAAGGGACTCTATAATTGCTAAACTAAACCTCTTCCTGAAATAATACCGTGGAGTGTGACTGTGGTCGGCCACCTGCACATCAATTAAAAGGTTTCTTGTGATGAACTTTGTCTAAGAACTTGCAACATTTAACCATTTGTTCTCTAGTCCGAAACAAAGTGATTCAAGAAACACCGTTTCGTTTCATTCTTAGCTGGGCATTTAGCAATCACTAGCTAGTTTTGGGGAACACACACACACACACACACACACACACACACACACACACATGTTGTAGGGAACTTTATTGAGAAAATAAAAAATAAGATGGCTTAAATATATAATACCGAGGCCTGTGAGAACACAGTGTCCTTAAAACAGATTCGCCCCGTATGAGCGTCTGTTTCCCAGGATACAACGGAAAGAACCGAAACAAATTCGGCGAACTTGAATAATGCCTGGACCAAAACACTTAAAAAAGAAAAATGGGAAGAAGCTTTTGGAAATATAGTCTTTTCTTTCTTGGGTTTTTGTGTGTTCGTAAACATCAACCAAAGCTTATATTTATATGGCCTTGAGGATGAATGTGCAACCAAAGCACTAACTCCCAAAATTTAAAGAACCATTTATAACATAACATCTTCCAACATTAAAGAATAAGTTACACATTAAATTTGCAAGATAAATGTTAATGTTATGTTTTGTTTCATTCAATTTTTCCAACACATGTAATGTAAGTCAGCTCAGAACAGTACACACACTCAATTAAGGTTCAATTACAAAAAAATTATCAGTTTTGTAGAAATTTCTTACAACTCCAGCGGGTGATAGGGTGTTGGCGGCGGACTTGGGCTCGCTCTGGAATTCCTCGGACGGTGGATCTGAACCCCCAAAAGATGGTAATTACGCAACAAAAACATTAACAAAAAAGAGAAGACAAGTGAATATGCATTTGATTTGAATGTGGTAAAGCAAAATCAACAAATACTCTTGTCATCGGACCACAAACCTGCAACCTTGCCCATGCTTTCGTAAGGAAATTAGTTCATATAACCTTTCCCAAACCACAGATATTGTGCAAATAAACCTTGACCAAAATTTTTATAAAATTTAATTCAAAAATTCATAAACATAAGAGAAAAGACATTTATACCCTTAATCCTATTTTTAAAGAAAAAGCTCTAAAAATCACCAAAAAATAAGCTAAAAATGCTTAAAATCCAAATATTTAAAAAATGAGTAGAATAAATAATACCCATCTCTGGAAAAATATTGAAAAAAATCCGAAATAATCAAGAATTAATTCTTGAAAGACTTGAAAAAACGAGTAGAAATATTGAATTTCTTGATATTCTACTATCAGAAATTCTTGATATTGCAGCAAAAGCTAACAAAATTATAGAAAATATTAACAAAAATAGACGTAAATAGGTTAGAAGAAACCTTAATAAAATTAGACGAGAAAATTGCACAAATTAAACCATTAATGGAAAACTTAAGCAAAGTAATTTTACTTGTAAATCAAACTGGAAAATAATTAGGATTAAATGGCTAAAAATCCTGAAGTAGGAAATGTACAACAAATACTAACGATAGTTAGTGAAATAAAAGAAGTTGCTCTAAGAATAGAGCAAAATATACAACAGTCTGGTACTAGTAACTCAGACACTAAATTATTAGAAATAGAAAGAGTTTTAAGAAACATTAAAGAAAAGAAGTCTATACCCATATAGACCACCAAATGAATGGAATCTTAGTAATCTGTTTAAAACTGGAAGAAAAAGATTACCTGGAGAAAAATGAATAGTAACACTGATTTTATTCAAAGTGAAACTGATATTCAGTCTCTCTTAGACAAATATCAGAATAATCTTTAAAAGAATTTGTTAGAAATTACAGTGACTCTAGTTCAGAAAATGAAAATCTTGAACCAAAAGATCGTATAAATGTTAAAATCGAAGAAGATCTTAAAGATTTCCTCCAGAACCAAGCAATTATCAAGACACTCACGAGTTCATGACTCCTGAAGAATACATGAATGATGAGTTCTATAATCCAAATGCAGATTGATACTTTGGAGTATCTGATGAAGAAAAAACATTCCTAGAAATAAATATTCCAGGAATGATGAATATGAATAGAAGCAAGACAAAACCTCACAAGAAAAATAAAACAAAAAATTATATTCCGAATAAATTTATTCCTAAAGATAATTCTAATAATCACAATGGTAACATACTCAATTTAGATTGTTTGACAAAACCAGTTGAAACAATAAAAGGTTGGTATAATTATATAGTAGTAGTAATACAAACTAATAGAGAAGCATTTGAATATCTAAGAACATTAAAAACTTATTTAGAACTTCATATGAAGGGAAATGTTAGAAACTGGTAGGATTCAAACTCATATGTTTCAAGCCTTGATGCTCTTTGGAATAGACTAGAAGATAACATAGAATATCTAAACGCTTTGGCTAAACTACTCGTTATTTGTAGGAGTCAATTAGATAACAGATCAGAGCTCATATTCATCTGTTCACTCCAGATCTAGGATGAGACCCATCAAAGTACCCTGGGACACTTGAAGAAAATGTGATCTAAATCCTCCATCTCTCCACACACCCAATAGATAGGTCCCACATTCAAGAATTTTCTCATTTAGCCCACTCAAAAAAAATTACCAACATCAACACAAAAAATCCTTCTTCAACATCTCCATAACAGATATAGTATCATTGACATTACTAAAATTGGAGCATTATCGGTTATACTTAAATTGGAAATTTTATCACGTAGGCCTTCAAATAATATCAATAGGATACCACCTTATCAATCAGTTACATCTCAATCACATCCCAAAATGTTCTAATCTTACGTGTTGATTTATATATTTCGTAATCTATCGTCGAATTTTTATTTATATTCCTACGTGTCAATATATGTGTTTCGTGCTCTATGTGCAGAATTTCGATATATGTATATGTGCATGTGTCGGATTTTGATTTGTGTTCCTACGTGTTGATTTATGTGTTTCGTAATCTATGTGTCGAGTACAACGCTTGACTAGCTTAAATTGTAAATATATTAAAAGTTAATAACTTTTGTATTTGTTATTAGATTTTCGTATAATATATTAACTTTTGTATTTCTTATTAGATTTTCGTATATAATATACCAGATTAATCATGTTTTAACGATATTCTATTTGATATTCATACTGCATATATAAAATAAATAAATAATTTATTAAGCATAAAATTATATAATCTATCTATAGTAATTAAAAATATTAATACTATTTATCATCAATATTAAAAATCATATATTGAATCATTACATATGAGTTAAAAATATTATAATATAAGTCGATCAAAATTGTGAAAAAAATCATTTCAAATATAAACATAAAAGTATTTTTTAAAAGTACTTAAAATTAAATACAGAAAAATCTCATTTTAAATACTAATAGTAAAATAAATTTTAAAAAAGTATTTAATTTAAATAAATAACTTCTTTCTTACATTACATTAGAATTCCCAGTATAATTTTTTTGTTTAGCAAGTGTGTAATCACGATAGTACTGATAATTTTTTAAAATACTAATACGATCAAAACTCTTCGTTGAATAAACTATCTAAAATCAATTTTGGGCAAATAGAGATCGCATCTCAACAATACGATACGTGTTTCATTTTCTACAATCAATGAATCATTTTTAGGTTTTTCTTTGATTTTATGCATGCAATATCTTGGGGTATATTACAAAAAAAATAAATAAATAAATAATAATAATAATAATAATAATAATAATAATAATAATAATAATAATAATAATAATAAATTATACATATTACTACCTACATTTTTCTCACATATCAAATTCAATGAAATTCAGAACGTTTCATGTTTATAGAATTGCAGTTTTTCAAATGATTTTAAAATATGTTTAAGCTTCAAGCTGTCTTGTAACATGAATTATAAATGTATGTAAAATAGAAATAATTTATTACATAAAAATTTGAAATGACATTTTCGATATTTGTTCAACATAAAATTCAATTATTTATGCTAAAATACAAATACAAAACAGATGCAATACAAAGCATCAAATATATGAAAAGTTTTTCATTCGAAACAGAAAACAGGTACGTAACACACGTTTATTTTATTTTTTAAGCTCACTCAAATATTCAATCGTCCTCTTCAGCAAAACTACAAAAAGGCACATCAAAGACCAAAAAACCATCTCAACAAATACTCTCAATGTTATAGGATGCAAGCACAATTGGGGCCTCTCAAAAGTTAAAACATCTTCTAAATATGCCAAAAAAATGGATTCCATCTAAAAAAAACAAATACTGAACCGTGGACCCTACCCTCAGAATTTAGTCGACGTACTTTTGTTTTTACCAGGGACTGTTCCCGGTGGAAGATGATGACATCACAGAGAGAATGTCGGTTACGGAGGCCATAGCGCTCAAAGCAGCTTTCAGAACGTCTTGCGAGCATCCAGGTTTCACTATGGCACGTACCTGGAATTATGAAGAGGTAAAAAAAAGGTAATCAAATATTAAACCAAACAAAATAAAAGGGATAAAAAAAGTGAATTGGATTTTTCGCTCGTAATTGGACTAGACCTCGAAAGTTGTGTTTGCAAGTAATAGTTGACTGAAGTAAGAAAGTAAATCAGGGTTCGATTGATTTTGATTTGCTCCCAGATGATTTCAGGGATTGAAAAAAATGATTTGTAGGGAAGAAAGAGCATATAACCTTGTCAAGGTGTTCCTGCAATTTTTTTATGCGGCCCATGTAATCCTGATCTTCAACGCAAAGGGTCACAGCCTTAGCATCAGCACCGGGACCTTCAAACTGAAGGGGTCCCGGGTTTCTATACACATCGTCCATCAGAAACTTGGTTGCATTCTGTCTCAATAACCTGCCAAACAAAGTGAAACACTGGCTCAAGTACTTGACCAATTATCCTGGATAAGACGTTCCAAAAAAGAGTACAGAGCGAAAAAAGTGTAAACAGAAACTGTGAAATAATAAAGTTACAACTTACAAGAATATTCATAATTCCATGCCACTACATTAGCCCAACTAATAGGCCAAGATATCAGTCAAGTATTTTCCCTTGAGATCTTGCCAATCAATTATTCGCCATCTCATATCAATCAATTTTTACTCTAATTACTACTAAACTAAACTCCATTTTACACATTCAAAGAGGCAAAAA